TGATTTCATTTATTAAATGGAAAAAGGCTGTCCAAGCCTACCTGGTCCCGTGTAAAGAACCTGCTGAGCCAGGAAAAGATCAGCAGGTCCTCACCAGAGTCTACAGTTGGGCAGATACAACCTCAGATCAAGCACATGACACTGGACCTTATAGTTTCAGGCCATTATTTAACAGAAACCAAAGTAAAACACAGAAGCAGTGTGTGACAAACTAAGTTCACCCTAAACTCAACAACTTAAACGATAACCTTTAGTTACTCTGACGTGTGGAGGAGTGTTCATCTCTCCCTCACTGTGCTCAACAATACAGACAACAGGGACACTCCATTATATGTGCATCTGCCACATATAGCTCTCATTCATACCTGCTGTCGTTATGCAAAATGAACTATTTCCTGTACGTCATCCAATTTCACACACACCTCAAAGAAACGTTTGAAAAAGTGGTCTTTTGTTGCCTTATGAAGAAGAGTTCAGAGAACTGAGGAGTCCTGATCAAAGCTGAGCTGGCATTTCACCATGATTGAGATTAATAATGGAGCATTAGCATATTTTCAGATTAGCATCCCACTATCTGTTGTCTGAGGCTGTTAAGCAACATTTCATCATATAATCACTCTCCACATCTCACTCAATTTGTTGGCACATTAAACTGGACAGAAAAAGCCAGTGTGTGATCTTCACAAGTTCAAACTGAATCTTTCTCCTGACTGTAAAAGAAGATTGTGCTGGTTTATAAAATAAAGAAATCCTCCTCCACCCATCACAGTCTGATTAGAAGCTCATAAGCCAATTGAATTCCAAAGAGGGGGAAATATCAGATCATAATCCGTAGTTCATCTGTGACGACAGGAGCCCATCTGTGCTTCGGCCCCATCTGGAACTCCTTTGCTAATTTTAGATGTTTGGGTTTGTTCTCCATGTCAATCCTGACACAATGCCTCCCTCTCCTGGTCATGGTGGGGACAGCAACACAACAAGCCTGCTATTCTCAACTGGCACTTTGCTGGGACACCTTGGTAAAAGGCCGTCCGTCCCCCAGAAGTAAAAGACAGTGGATATTGCACCTATCTATGCATCCAGTTATCTCTGAGCTCCATCCCGGTCACAGCCCCTTTCAACAAACGTACTCCGGCCCCCACACCTCAAACTCCTGTTATAGAGGAGATAACTGGGCTGTATCATGGACATCACAGGTCACCCTGTGATGTCACTGGGTCGGTCTCGTTATGGAGGGGGACACATTCCCAAATGTAGATAACCGTAGATTTGGTCAAATAATTAGTCATGACAGCCAGTCACGTCCATCAGGGGGCGCCGACTATGACACACGAAACAATGTCAGACTCTGCACCTGGTCCAATTGGGTGCCCTCCCCAAACGGAGCAGGTGAACATTTCTTTTTGGCTCTTGCTGGAGGAGACGCCGCCCATCCCACTTTGGGTGGAGGGGCTCTCATTCCCAGCCAAATTCATTCAACCCTCTGAGAACATTTTGATTTGAGAGGAAGCAGAGCTGCAATCTTAAGATTTGCAGCTCAAGCTCAAAGAGACATCTACTGTAAAGTTTGTGTTATTACAGTAGATGTCTCTTTGAAAGTGCTGTGCTCAAGTTCAAGGATGCAAATCTTTGACTCCGTGTGTCATCACAATACAGAGCAGCTAGCCAAACTCTGCTCCCACAGAGTGACTCATTAATAATGTTGCATCCTCCCTGTGCGTGACCCTGGATACTTCTGAAAACATGCAGCCCATCATACCAACTTGGATCTTCTACCAACTACCATCTACCAACTTGAACCTGAGAAATCCTTTGTTAAGTAAGCTCTCAGCAACATTGTACTGGCTGAACAACCTTCCTCCCATCACTGGAGCCGGGCTGGCAAAGAGTCGAAGCGCTACTGAGCCAAACATCACCTCAACCTTAATCAGTGATTACTTCATTTCCACAATAAAGTTTTAACCATTAGAAAAAAGGAAAATATTCATAATCACAGACACATTACGTACAGCTACTTGTAACACTACTGGCATTTAGTCTCTCTCCAGCTGATTGAGAATTCCTTCTCCGTCTCTATTGGACCACATTCCTATGATTGGTCAAAGTTGTCCTACAATTAATTCCTCTTCAGTCTTTGTCAGACTGGCAGTAATAAAGCCACCAGTTGACCCAGTTATCAACCTCCACCCTTCCATTAAAAAAATAGCAAACGTTACCCTTTACCAGACCTCAGGCTGTAATATCAGGTTAAGATTCAATGGTGTTTATACGTCTTATGTTCAGAGCGCCCACTGATACTTGCTGACAACCTGTGTTTTGTTTCGTGTATCTGCCCACCTGGACCAGTTTGTAGAAGTAAGCATACTGGCGTGCAGTGTTTTTATACTGGCTGAGGACATCCTGCACCGCCTGTGTGCCCAGTAGGAGCTGCACATCCTCTTGCTGGTAGTACAGAGGTATGTCATATTCCTGAGGAAGACTGCGGATGTACGGCAGCCAGAAGGAAGCAGGGTTGGCTCGCTCACATAGCAGGTGGAGGGCCAGCGTCACATTCCCCATGGCCTGCAGGATCCGATCCTGGCTATACAAAGGAGCTGCAATAAAGAGGTCACAGGGTCACATGACCAGAAGTCATATTTTATGCATTTATTTATTCAGTTTTTAAAGGTTTATAGTAATATGAGTAAACTACCGTGAGATTAAAACACGTTACATTTTCTTTCTCTTCCGTAACAACGATTTAAACATTGATGCATCCTGACAGAAACTGTGGCTGAACTGGTGGCAACACCTCCAGTGAGCAGCACCCAGCAACGTGCTTTGGTGGGTTTGATGCCAGTGAATACAAGGAGCAACAACTTCTTGTTCGTGGTGTTTTAAGGTGTATTCAAACAATGAGCCAGTTTCAGAGTGCTTCAGTTCCACAGCCAGTGAGGACCAAAACGATGAGAGAGAATCTGACGTCTCCCTCTGCTGACAGCAGCGATGGCTGCAGTGACTCCACAGCATGAGTCTGTCACACGGACATGTGCCACGTGTCTGCAGGGGCACAGCATATAACTTGTGTTTTAAATCCACCGCGAGCTTTGATGGCCTTGAGTTAGAAAAGGATACAGCCTTCAGATCACAGTATTATTACAGTTATTCCTACATATGTGCACTGATGTTAGAATAAGTAAAATAAAACACATCACAAAGATCTATGAACGTGGCAGAAATGAAACCTGACTAATAAAAACCTTTGTGTTGTTCTGTCGTCTGATTACAGATTATATGAAAGTATTTACTGCAGCAAATCAAACATGCATCGTGTCTGCGACACATCTCCTCTCCACTGCTGGACCTGTCCACCAACGTTTTCTCCTGTTGTACTGACCCAGCACGAGTCCTGCAGCAGCCCACAGGCTGACTCTGCAGATTACTTTTCAGAGGAAGAGATCTGGCGTGCTGCGATGCCCTGTTAATGTGTAACTGTATGGAATGAGCTATGAGTTGTAAATAACTTCATTTCTTACCCAGTATAGAGTTCTGTGCCGACTCCACTGTCATCAGCATCTTCCTGGGAATCCACAGGAATAGTTCCTCTGCCTGTAAACCACACAGTAAATAACACAACAGATCACACGGTCAGCCTCTTCCAAGAGGTCAGAGTATTTATCAACGTCTGATTTTTAAATGGATTTGACACTGACGTACTGACAGCCTGTGGGGTGCAGACAGGTCGGCCTAACCTGCTACTTTCAGGGATATCTGTGTCTGCTGCAGTTATACAAGCAGCACCATCTCCCTGCCACTGACTGCTCTGATTTGGGCAGTTGGTAGCTTCCAGAGGTGGGTGTAGTTTCAAACCAAGTGTGGCATAAAGATGTGAAGCCATGATGCCATAAACACCTTTTGCATAAAATGATGGATGCATAGCCAACACCCAGACAAAGGAACCAGTAACTCTACTGCTGTGCTCTGGAGTTCACCTGTACTTGCTCAGATTCGTTCTCCACACTCTGCACAGCCAACATGCTCCCGTTGCTCTGCACAGCCAGGAACCAGCAGCCAGCTCTCCACTCATTTGTCAACCCCTGTGATGTGGTTCAATATCAGCCATGTAATAACTACAGTCTCCTATATGTTCATCCATCAATCTCCATGTGCTAACTTTAGCCATCCCTGTAAGATGACACATTTGATATGAAAGCTGCTGTGAGTCAATATGACACGTTACTGGGTAACCAGTATAGGGATGGGAATGATATGAATCGAGCGATGCTGATTCAGGTGGTATAGCTTTAAAGGTAGAGTGATGACTGGTTTGATGGTTCGATCTCTGGCTGCTCATAGTTACCACTCAACAATATAAACCTACAGCCTCACACACCAACACAAATCTCTATGCTAATGAGGACACAAACCATCTTTCTCTCAGTATTTAGGCATGAACACAAAGACGAAAACCAGCACAAACAGTAAATCGATTCTACTTTAGAAACATGAGGCTGCAGCCTGACTGTTCATCAGTTTGTCACCTGTTGACGTTAATGGTCCGACCCCTGGGCTGGAGTCGGCACTCACTCGCCTAACAGCGCTCTGGCTTCTTGACCAGCTTAGCGTTAGCATGGCGTCTCTGCAGGGCTTTCCAAGAGCTCAAGTTGCACTTTACCACAGCGCTGTCCTTTGTGCAAGTCGAACAGATAACCAGGATTGATGGGCGGAATAACAATTCCAAGGAACTGAACTACTGGGAACCAGTTAGAGAACCCTTGTAGACCCAGTTTTTGCAAAACCTACAGGTTTGCAACAGTTATTATTTTCTATTATAATATTTTACATTGTAATTGCACACAACCCAAACTGATCTGATACATTTTAGGAAAAGTGTTCAAAAAGACACTATGAGGTTTTACTTTTGAGTTCTGGGACTCAAAATGAGCTCGTTGGCAGTTCTAGTATGAAAAGCTATTCCTCTTTCAAATATCCCATGTTTGCTCATGTGATGGTGAAGCAGGAGGTAACTTCAAAAGATTTTCTAGAAATCAGAGTAGAAACCTTGATGTCTCTGGTGGCCCTCAGGCCATAGCCTTCCTTCCCAAAGTTGGCCACAGTGAAGCACTCACAGGAGGCCCCATTCTCCTTAGCCCAAGACATCAGGTCAGGGAAGTGGTCCTCCCTGCTGCCCTCAAACACAATGGACATGCCTGAACACAGACACACAAAACAAACATTATTTAGTCCAATAGGATGGGTATGGTAAGTCTCAATCATGTGTTAACATGATACTATACGTGTACTTACCTTTTTGCTTTTTGCGGATTCTTTCCACCAAGCCTCTTATTTGGAGGTACTCCTCCCACTCTTTACCAGCAGAGGCTGCTGCACTGCTGCATTCTGGGAAAACACATTGTCAACACTTCAACTATACAGCCACCTTAGAAACCAGAAGGAGCGATAAATACTCAAGCACAGAGCAGAAAGCAGCACGTGAAGGCTGCTGAACACCTGCAGAAAGTCACTGGTCTAATGCCTGCTGATGCAGGATCAGGGCTACTTTCTGCATCTACCATGATGCATGGAGCTATCAGGACTTAGAGCAGCTGAACAAAACACACAACTAAGCTAGTATTAGCTAAACAGCTTGTCTGTATGCTAATGTATTTACTTTTGGCGGCACCTCAAAAGTCCCAACATTGCAGTGTAGAAAGATCCAATGATGCTTACAACTGCATCTCCATTTTTACTTTATCATCTCCCACCAGGGCATAATGAGCATCTCATAGTTTTACCTGTTAAAATTTAACACTTAACACATAACATCAACTAGGGTCAGTCTCACTGACCTCTTCTCTACTTTTACTGGTGTGTAAATCAAAAATATTATGATTTACCTTATTATAGCCTGATTTATTGGTATATTTGTTGTACTCACAAAATAATGGAGCAGTGTACGTGCACATAATGCTTTTATTTTAGCACTTTGAATGGAAACATACTCTGCAACAGTTCAGCAATCAGGCTCATCATCTCCTTGGGGGAAACCACAGCCATGGCTCCTGAGCCTGACTTCTGAGTCTTCACCCGACTCTTCTTTCCCATGATGCTGGATGGACAACCAGGCTGAGACACAGAGAGAGCGCCATTAACCACTGTTACTCTGCTCCACAGTATCGACACATCAACACATTACATCAGTTTTTTAAGCTAAGCTTGAACCTCAGTGAACCATTACATAGACATTACTTGATTACAATACAAATTGATTACAATAGAAGAGAAGTTTTATCAATCTGATAGCTTCACAGTCCAAAGACCTTCATGACCAGAAGGACAGAGGGAACATCCTGCAACGGCCAATTCAACATACACGGGACAGCCTGGAGCTACGTGCTGCCAACAACCAACAACTGTGACATGCAAGTGATGGTGTTATCAACTTGGTAGGTCAGTCTAGGTTTTTCAAATCTAAAGTCAGGTGACAAATGACAAGCAAAAGCCTAAACCTGCAGGGCGAGGACTCTATAGTGCTGTGGGGGGATTTCGCTTCCACGGTTCGGGTCTACTTGTCCCACTGAGAGTCACTGCTAATCAGCCCAGACTTGTTCTAAGTACTCAGTTTCATTCTATGATGGGACATTTCTTTTCTCCGTCCTCAGGGCACTGACTGGTGTGGTAGGGATTAAAAGGATGTCAGTCCCACATTATGCAGTCAACAGATGCTAAACCAAGTGAAATATTTCAGACCAGTGAGTGGGGTTTCCACCACCATCATTCAGGGAATGTCTTTCATCCGGACTGTTTTTTTTTTTATTTTTAAATACTCTTTATTTAAATAGTCTGTATGTGTCCCAAAATGGCTCCATCTCGCTGTTATTATGTCATGTTCCTTTTTGTTTAAACCCTGGGGGCTGAGCGGGCTTAATGTGATGCTTTTTATTCACACGCTGCTCCTAGATACCTTTCTATTGCAGCTCTATTTTTAGTCGCAGTGCAATACTCACTCACAATGGGTTCACAGCAGAGCACTACAGAGCTGTGCATTAAATGAAGCATTGAAGCAAAAAAATTAATCAGTAAAATATTGTCTCGAGCATTATCAGTGTATTTATCCACCAATAGAGCACCAGGTAGAGTCGGAGAACAGGAATTTATCAGAAAGACAAGTTGACAAAAAAGCAGTGACCGCGAGTACAACAAAGCTGCTGATAAAGGGCGTGCTGCTGTCACCGTGAAGAAATGGGATTATAAAAACCTCAAGTGCATTTCAGCGAGCGACGTTCCTGCTGACTAGTCTGGCACTAAGAAACACTCAGATATCAAGTTAACTTTGAGATTTGCTTAATGTGAAAACCTCTCTAAACAGAGGCACCATCAGTCACATTCTTCAAGAATGAATCACGCTGGACGAACATTTTTGACGACCACTCAATTATAATTAAAACGATAAATCATCCACGCGTTTTCTTCCACTCATCTGACGTCAGGTCGCCCAGACCTCCCTGTCACCGGCCACATCTGAAATTAAATTATCTTAATTTGTAAAATGAATCAAATCTCTAAACTTTATCTGAAATTCTTATTTGTTCAATTTTACTTATAAGTGGGAAAATTAACTCTGACTGCTTCACCATTACTTCCATTGTTGCAGCATGGAGCAGTCAAAATCTTCCCAGTGGTATTGAAAATGTTTGTATTGTAACGATAGTATTGGGACAACTCTAATGATTCTATTTATTCTACATTTTGACTCTGAGGATAAAAAAAAAAAAAAATTATAAATTAAACTTGCTGTAATAAATATGACGCTATAAATAAAGTTGTCAAGAAACTGGTTTCCGAGGTCTTTCATAGCCATCTTTAATATACAGTCTATACTCTTAAACAATAGAGAATGCATTATGGGGTCAAAACTTGACCCCAGTATGGCCTCTCAGCCAAATTTTACTTTTCCAACTGTAAGTCATATAATCAATAATCATCCCGTCCGACATCAACAGTGAAAATCTCTGTCCAGCAGATAACTTTATGTACACTTTATACACATCCGTACTTAAACGCTGGTGTGAAAGAAAACCGGTGATGTGACAAAAAGTGATTGACAGTATTTGCATGTTTTAATGAATAATATCAAACCATTTGAAGATAGACAGAACATTGTAGCTTCTACCTCTTCACAGCAATCTGTTTTGGCAAAGCAACTTTTATATATCCATTATTTATGAATTTAAAAATCTCACTGAAATTAAAAATGCCATTTTCAACACAGAAATTGTAACAAATATACCATGACAGTTATCTAAAGATATTTAAGTGCCAAAACAGTACTGGATTGACTATAATGTAGAACACTTAAAGATACAGGAGATGTTTAATATAACGGACATCTGAAGTCCTGTTGCCTGCAGAATATGTATCAATATAACCAAAGACTTTAGACATAAACACAAAGAAGCACCGGAAATCACTTTTTGGCACAACACCGGAACTAAACTGAGACCCGTAAAAACGGTTAGTGAACGCAATTATCTGTCGCTAAATCAAAACTCCGCTTCCTCGCCGAGGACACTTTCTGAGTGAGCTGCAGGAAACACCCACCAATTATTTGGTTTTCAGCTATGAAAAAGGTGACGCTTCTGTAAGCTAACGGCTGTGACAGCGGTTCAGGCTCGCCGTGAATAGTATGCCGTACAGCGACATATCACACACTTTCCCTGCTAGAAATAGAAAAGTTTAGGGGCTTCGTTTAAAACGAGACACAAGTAGAGTACTAGCTAAGCGTTAACCCTCCCACCAAATAACTGGCTCACACGACTAGCTGGGTCTCGGGTTGTTTCGCCTGTGTCACCAGGCCAGCAGCAGCTTAAGACCATAAATTAAGCACGCCAAGACGAACAGAGAGGTAACTGGAGCGGGGCAGCAAAATAGCTCATTCATTTCCCACTAGCTACTCTCTCTGAAGGCTAGCGAGCAAGTTGTGAGCTGCTTAGCTGGCAACTAATGAAGGGTCGTGTTGGAGTTATAGCGTGGGCTAACTTGCAGTGCTGGCTAATTTTAGCCTTGGCTGTTAAACACAACGACTTTCGCGCCACACACGCGCGTTTATAGAAAATATCCACTGAATCAAACCAAACTACATTCGCACTTTGTCTCAGGCACTCATACCTTCTGAAGTGACAGCAGCTGTTCCCTCTGACCCTGCACTGAAACCAACCCTGACTTTGTGGCGCATGCGTTTGAGAGGTCGCGAAGTACGCCTCACGCCCGGTCCACGCCCACAACCACAATGCTGGTTTCTGCCGTTCTGATTGGTTGATGAAGACCATGATCCAGGAAGTTGAACGCTTTATAATGTAAATTTAAGAAGAACCTCTCCTGTCTCGCACTGCTATTGGACGCCTACTTTTAGAAAGATTAAATCGACCATAAATGGTAATGTTGAAACTCTAATGATTGGCTGAAAGTTGTGCCTGTCTCATTGTGCCAACGTTTTGAGATTAGAGTGGATTTGTTAGGGGTAAATGACGAAGTCCATCTACAGTGAGGCATCATGGAGCAGATTACATACATTTTGTTAATACCAGCAATGTCACACCATGCAATCAAATCAATGAAAATAAGCTAAGGCTAAAGCTAAGGATGTGAATGGCCCTGGTTCAATCATGCAACATTTCCACCCTTGTCATTTACTATTTGCTGTTTTGATCCTGGCTACTTTAGTCTCCGTGCCAAACCCTTGGGTGAGGCACTCAACCTTGAGTTGATGTGTTCATCAGAGTGTGACTGTTATGTAGAAAGTACTTAGGCATAGGGAAATAAACTGCTTGTATGAATGGGTGAATGACACATGCTTTGAACTAAAGCTTTCTTGAAAAGGAGGAACAAGCTGCTGTTGTTAACTAAATGATACAGTCTATTTTCTTTTTAAAATAGAAGCAGTTCTAGTTAAGTTTTAGTTCACTAGTTTCATGGAGGACATTATCAGATCACTAGGCACACTTAAAGATTTATTTTTTAAAGCAAGAAAAAACCATAAGTTATTAGCTTCCCAAAGAGGTTTGGTTCTTGGTAGTGTTTGTGTGCATATGTGGCATGTTTTCTGTCTGTAAACATGATATCTTTGAATGAATTCTAATAAAACTTTGTAGGCGTGCAGAGCAGAGTCATGGTGGCTTATATACACCAAAGTCTTCAAAGTCAGCTTCTGTACTGTTCTGTACAATGGTGAACATCATCCAGCTCTTTAATTATACTCAAAAGACTTCTTCATGCAGCTGTGAAGAAACTGATGTTTGTACAAAACACCTGAAACTGCATCGAAATGATTTATTTACAAAAACTTACATTAAATGTAATATTATTGTAAAAAAGTCTCTGACATCTTATATTTCCTGTTAATCTTAGACCATTTAGTGAAGCTGTATTTTATTAGTATGAGTAAGATACGTACATGCATGTTCACATTCCTGTGTGAAATGACTGAAATAAAAACTAGTTGGCGGGGGCGCACCAAACATTTGTGCCCATGGACCATGAGCATGGAAATCACACATGCTTGTACTGAATATATGGAAAGTTGTTGTATTTTTTTCTGCTTTCTAATTTTTCTGTTCTTGTGTCATCTGATGTGAAATATGTTTTTGTGTAATTTATGGGTATTGGATTAATTATATGTGGAATAGAAACGTGTCCACTTCAAATGAGAAATCCTGTGATGTCTGTTATTGTCTTAGGGGGAGTTTTGTCCTTTCTGTCTGTCACTCCAGGTTAAATAATGAGGCCCATCAGGCTCATGATATTTAAGGACTACATGGCTCTGCTCTTTCTGGCAGATTGTTGGTAATACAGCCTCGTTGTGCACTTTGTTCTCTAACTTTGTTTGTCTATTTCCCAGCTGCCTGTCAAAAACCTGCTTGACAATTATTCTCTCTTGGTTTTTCAAGCACCACCAGCTACTCCTGAGTATTCAACTGACTGCTACTCAGTTTATTTATTGACCTCTCACTTAGAGATAGGATGAGGAGTTCAGTCATCCTGGAAGGTTTAATCCTACCTTGCATTTAGTCCTGGAATAGCCCTAATCTTTCTCTGGGAAATGAGCTCATATAATCCAGTTGTAGGCCAAGTGTGGAGCCATTTCAAACCATGACTGAGACAGCTGGTTTAATACTTGTCGAGGGAACCATTCATGAATTGAAACCATTACAACTCCATTTTGTTCCATCTTTCGGTCTCTAGATGGCAGCATTACTCTTTCAGTTATTAAACATCCATTCATTTATTCTCTTCCACTCGTCCAATTTTAGGGTCACAGTGGGGGTGGAGCCTGTTCCAGCTGTCATAGAGAGAGGCGGGCCTGACAGGTCTAACACAGATGGACAGACGACACAGCATCAGTGCATTTGAATATTGTTATTGTAGTCTTTAACTTATACAGCGCCCTGAGGCAACTGTTGTTGTGATTTGGTGCTATCAAAATAAATACAATTAAATGAAATAACCAGTGTAGTAACAATGTAGCAACAACGTGCTCAGTGCTTCTGAATGTGCATTAGAATTTCACACATGAACTCCCCACTTGTCTGATTAATGACTGATATCTGAGAATGTTTTAAACAGCTGTGATGCAGCAGCTTCATTCAGCAACACTTTGACTATTTATACATGGTCATCATCTGACTTATAACAAATAAATAGAAGTAGTTGCAGCATGGTGGTGCGGCGTTCCCTCACACCCCTCCTGAGTTTGAGTCCCCGATCTGCCTCCGATATTTCAACATTATTGCATTTTGTTAAAAAATCCAGGTCTGACTTGGTAAAAAAAAGAAAACCTTGGGTTATTTTATGATTGGACATCATGAAGGCGTAGTTTTATTCAGATACATTATTGTGCAGTCTCACTCGCAGCACAGGTAGAGCTGCTGTCTTTATTTGGGAGCACTCTGAACTGTCTGTGTCCTCGCTGGCTTCATCTGCCGTTTCCGGTTGTTTTCCCATCATGCCGAGCTCTCTGCCTCTCCCCTCTTCTGTGTGTGCATGCCTGTGTTTTTGTCTTTGTGCAGCATCGGGCCTTGGGGTGGTTCTCACACCTGCTGACAGTCACACTCACCTGCCGCTGATGATCCCATCACAGGGCACTATTTAACAGAGTGGCTGAGCTTGAGTCGATGTCACTGAATGACAATAGTCAGCGTGACCCTGGCTCATGCAGAAGGGGAACTTATGTCTCGTCTCTGTTCCTTTTCTGCCCAGGAACCACGGAGAGCTTTTCTAAAGACTTCTGAGGAAACTGTGTTTGGGAGAGGGATCCCTGCACTGGGACCTCGGGTGATCACTACGAAGGAATGCTGTTTTGTTGGAATTGTTTGCACCCTGTTTCTACACTAAACTCACTGTCACCGTCCAGGAAGTCCTGCGATTGGGTCCGGTTTTTGGCCACAGATTTAACAAGAACCTGATACTCAAAGTATAAACATTTGCTCTTTTTAATGCAGTATTAACGTAATAATCTACTGGGGGTGTCACCCTTCACTAGTGTATTCTGCCTGAAAGCATGGATGGATTGATCCAGATCCAAATAAGAGAAAATTATATTGCTTTTCAAAGAATTCAGTTTGAGTTTTCTAGATAAAAGCCACCACTTCCACTTAAAATCGGTGCCTGTCCCATGTTTACTGTAGGGTTAAACCAAAGAAAAGACACTTGCATCCATATTGTCTGTAGACCAGTTTGTATTTAACAGAAGGGCACCAGTCATGTAACAGAAATCTAAAGAATACTCCGTTATCGTCCTCTTTCAATTCAGTTTCATTTATATATCACAACAACAGTTCGCTGAAGGCGCTGTGTACTGTACGGTAAAAGCTCCACAATAGTACAGAGGACCTCAACAATCCGATGACCCTCGGAGCAGGTACTTGGTGACAGTGGGAAGGAAAAACCAGTCACTGCAGATGAAGCGTTCTCATCTTATCTTTGAAGTACAAACACCATTTATTCAGAAGAAAAGAAATAATTATCTTAAGCACCTGTATTAATTTTGTGCTTAAAGGAATAGTTTCAGTTTTCCAGGAGAAAAAAACATTTGTATCTACGCCGTGATTTACCCACATCGTGTGCAGGAAGTGGCAGCAGGAAGAAAATAACCCTTCAGGAACATCTTTATGGAAACGTGAGTCTTTCAGCACGGACAAAAAAATAAAAACCAAACGATGTCAATAATAATAACAGTTTTGCTGTAGATAAATAACCTTTTATACAAATAAATATTGCCGTTATCAACCAGCTTTGGGTACAGTTATGGCTCAATCTTTATTTCTGGTTTGTAATTGGTTGATTTCCTGGTATGAACGTCACTTTTAAGCATAGTCCACATATTTGGTTAAGATGAATGCTGGGGCTTTGGGAGGCGTCGTTGTGTTGTGATTATGGGCTATATAAATAAAACTGAATTTAATTGAATTCCTAATCATTTAATTAGTTTTATTCCCAGTAATTCTAACTCCCAGTTAAATAACAGAGTTGTTCCTCGCCAGCAGACGGAGTCTCCAAGAAGTCTCCATCAGTCAATCTGAATTGTCGTCCCATGAGAAGCTATAAACCCGGGGAACAGCTTCCCCTACCTGTGACAGAGGACAAGGAAAGCTCCTGGCTCCTGACAATTGGGGTGTGGGCTGTGGAGTGGCTGTAGCCAGGAGGTAGCGCAGGTCACCTACTGATTGAAAGGTTGGTGGCTCAACCAATCTGCATATCAAGTATTCTTGGGGAAGATAATAAGCCAAAGTTGCTCTCCAATGCAAACGTTATGTGTGAATGTAGTTAGAAAGCACAAAGTACAGCGAAAGTGCTTGTGTGAATGTGGCATGTTGTATAGAGTGCTTTGAGTAGAAAAGGGCTATATAACAATCAGTCCATTTTCCTCTCAGGTGGACTGGGAGCCTAAGTTGGCGCTGGACGTTGAGAGATACTGACTAGTCATAGTCAACGCTTGGCTCAGGCTCTGGAACCAGGGGTTGGACTCTGTTTGAGTCTGGAGTTGAGAAACTAGAAAAATCAAATTCCTGAAGTTATTTGAGATGAGTTCTGCCGGTCCACAGCAAACCATTGCAAAAGATAACCTTGGAGGGTCATGCTGACCAGACGTACAATCAAATAAACATATAATAACCAGATCAGTCCTTCTGTTTGTTTTTCAGTTGCCTCTGTTTATTTGGATGTTTGCTGTCCGTCTGTTCTTTCAGACAGATCAATACTTCTTTCATACTGCCTGCCAGCCA